CACTTTGCAGTGCTCCGCAGTACACAGAAGATCAAAGGTAGGCCAACTGTGATCCAAACACTCATCCTTTTGCAGCAACATCGAGGTACGGCGCACCTTAGTCCGAGAAGGCGAACCAAGTTGCACCTCAAGCACCTCCCCAAAGAGTACCCATTCGTCATCAGCACGGCCACATTCGCCAGTTTGGGCTATGCCTCGAAGAGCTTCAGCAACAGTGAGTGCAAGCGTCGAAGGCATCCCCACAGTTGACCATTGAATGAGCCCTTCCACTGCATGTTGACCAGCGGTTCTCTTCATTTCCTTAGTCTCCATGGCAATCCTGATGCTTTGTGAGCACCAGGTCGGTGGACGTCCAACCCTCGCCTCTCAGAGAAGCAAGCAGCTGGACCCCGGCCCTTGCGCGGGGGCGTAAGCCAAAAGGATTTGGGCCTAGATGGCTCGGGGGGAGCTTCCTTGAAGAAGTGCTCGCACTATTCATTTGGTTCCTAGATTTTTAGGGAGACTTAAGTATCTTAAGTTCGCGCTTGCAATCGACCCAGTCCCCTCAAAAGCATGTTGAGAGCCCATCCAGTGATGCAGCTGTTCATGGCCGAATTCTACTAGGCCCGCCTTAACGACAGCACCCATATGTATCCTGTGGATTGCTACTACTGACACGTAGAAACTAGAACGCTTTTATCACAACCCCTGCTCAATACACAACCTTTGCTTGCAAACTTTGTGTAGTCCGTTCGCAGCGCTGGCTTTGAAGAGGTTGCGCAGGCACCACGGCAGGCTGGAGATTTTTGGGAGACAACTGAGACATGCTCAGTGAAACATGCCTGCGGACCTAGTGAACATTTTTCAGCCTCACCATGCTTGAAGGACCTTGCCATGTTTGGTGCCACTCAGCCTTTTGGCGGAGGAGGCTTTGGTGCAACCGGGGGCGGGTTGCCGGCCGCTCAGACCACCAATGAAAGGAGGTGAGGTGTACTTATATGTGCTATACATATACACGCAGTATATATAGATATATATGTACAAGATTTAATTGTTTAGCTGCTAGTGAATGATCCCCTTCGCCGCTCAAGGTTTGGAGGTGGATGTGGTGGCGGATGTGGTGGATGTGGAGGCTGCGGAGGATGTGGCGGCTTTGGCACCCCACAGATCAAGGACCCAAACACCAATCAGGACTGCATTTTGAGGAATGTATTCGGTGCGCTTTGAATGATTGAAATGTCTAAAGAACCTGTCCGAAAGGAATCCACCCTGAGCATGTAATTATCAAGAGCTATTGTGATTGTAGCCAAGCTGCCAGAGTGTTTGTTCGTGGTGGTGATGTTCAGTCAGGACGCTCCTGTGCCAGAAGGTCCCAGTGATTCTATCAGCTGCTTGCGGTGGTCGCCATCTGCAAACATTTTCGCATGTGGTTCCTGGGACAAGAGACGCTCAGAAGCATGAAGGTCGGTCAGACCATAGGAAGACCAGTCCTTGCTACTAGTAGTAATGCCAGGAGCTAAAGCTACTAGTAGAAATGCCCTTCGTTACTAGTAGTGTCCTCTTGTTACTAGTAGTACGACCAGGAGCTACTAGTAGCGATGCCGCGGTGATGCCCTTTGCTCCTAGTAGCGTCCGTTTGTTTGCCAAGATGTGAGGTGTTCGCATTTGGGAGGTCACAGCCCAGAATATTGCCCCACGAGCCTTGCAATAATTATCATTAGCCTAGGTGGGCAGCATGCAACATGTGTTTCATGTTCTTCCGTGGACTCTTGCAAAAGTGCACCCCATGCTTTCTGTGATGAGGTATGGCTTACAACCATGAGGCGCCAGTCCTTTGCTGCGCCTTCTCCAAGGATGGGCAGCGGATATTCAGCGGCGGCTGTGACAACAAGGCAAGTTCCAGTTTCTATTGCAATGCGGCAAGTATGTATATACATATGCATATATATAATATGGTATTGTATTATATATATATATATCATATGTCATATATAGTTTGGTTGTACCCCGCAGCCTCTACCACGAGGTGAAGATGAAAGTCCTCCAGACGCAGCAGGAACAACAAATAGGCACAGAGCCTTGACGAGCCTTGGCCTTGGTCTGACTTCAGCTTTGGTCTAAGGTCAGCATGACGCACCTGTCAAGGAGGTCTTTGTGCTGGATGAAATGAATATGGTTGTTTCCGGCAGCTGGGATCGGACGTTGAGCCTCTCGGCAAACAAATGTGTTTTGGAGGTTGGACCAGATCGGCACATTCTGGCATGTTTGCTCCATCGAGATGACTGAGCGAGGATTCTGGAATTTGCAGCAGCCGACGCCAGTGGCAACTCTCCAACTGCCAGAGCGATGCTTGAAAAGCACAAGACTAGACATAAGAGCTCCTAAGTGCTAAGGCATGCTAAGGCCATTCGTTGCAGAAAGGGCATGACTTGCGTTGACTGGTTGTGAGGAGTGTACACAATGGATGTGAAATTCCCTTTGCTTGTGGTGGGCTGCGCGGAGAGGCATGTGCACTTTGTCGGAAGCATCAGCTTGTAGCTTTGGCATTCGGCCCGCAGCCCAGAATACGGATCCAATTTGGCCACCAAGGCTGGTGTACAACCTGCAAGCCATCCAGCAGAACCCGAACCCTTACAAGCAAGGCCAAACTGCTCTGAAAATGCAGACACGTGCGATTAGCTCCTTGGTCAAGGAGCAGATCATGATTCGCCAGCTGGTTCAATCTGGTTCAAGTTTGGGTTATGGTTCACAAGCTGCCAAGCTCAGCTAGGCACAAGGGTTTCCTCATTCCACCTTTGGACATACAATATATCCTGCACATAAAGAATGGTATGTCGTTACTTAAATATGTGTATGTAGTATCTATATATATATATATATGTATATAAGACATATTTAGTTACAAGACAACCCACAGCCAAACTATACATGACAATTTGCAAACCGTCACATTGCTGGCTCCCACATACCAGTTGCAGCTACTCATTTCCGGAAGCCTCCCTGCAAGTCGTCATAGGGGCTCGAGTTGCCAAGCACCCGCGAAAGAACTCTTTCTAGGTTTTTGCTAAACCCTGGAAGTGAAGTCGATGAGGTTGCTTTCCAGATAAGACTGGCTACGCAGTGGGATCTATAGAGGGCCGCTGCTCCATAGCATACATCGAGGATACCTCGAAGAACTTTGCCTTCAAGTGTCTTGACAGTTGGTGCCATTCACTGAAAGACTTGACCAGCTCAACAAATGGCATGGCTTGTCTTGCAATGTGGACAAAGGTGCCATCGAACCAATACCGAAATCTACGCGGTGAACGACATAGATTTCCATCCGCAGATGGGGAGACTCTTTTGCAATTAAACAGTTCAACACGTGTGGCTGCTGCCTTTTAGGTTTGGACAAGGTGGGGCAAGCCTGGTTTGCTTTCTGTTTCAGGACGTTTGCTACCTGCGGCGGTGACGGCACCTTCGTGTGCTGGGACAAGGAGAATCGAATCAAAGCTGCATTATAGCTGTAGTAATCAGAAACAACGAACTTTTGACTCTTCATTTCTCCTCATCAGTTCGTTGATGAGCTAAGGACAGCGCTTGAAAGCCTTTAACTCCTGTCACTATCCCATCACAGCTGGAAAGTTCAATGAAACTCAGCATTGTTTATTCAACCGGGTTGCACGGATACTCTTGAAGACCAGCTACGCTTTGCCCGAACAAAAGTAACATAGTAATAGTTCGTTGATGCTTTTTTGAGTTCAAAAGCTTGCGACTCTTCCCAAGGCAGCAGGGGACATGTACGCAGCGTGGTTCGCACTTGCACCAGAAAAGTGAGTGGCAGAATACTTTCAGTTGCTATTTTGTAGGTTGGAGGCCATCGCTAGTAGAAGAGTGCAGGAGGGGCAGAATACGTTCATTTGCTTTACATACCTTCGCTGCACACACAGTCTGCCCAACCGCAACTGTTTCGGTGCTTCGAGGCATATGCTGTGTCCTATGATTGGAGTAGAGGTCACGAGCAGAACCATCCCTCTTTACCAAAGGGGGTGCCGGCCTTAGTGAAGGTTGGTGGAAACGGATGGAAAAGGTCTAGCGGCTAGGGTGATCAGAATTTCCAATATAGGCATTGCCAATCTCCAAGGGATCGGGAAAGGATCTTTTGCATCCTGACCAGCTTGTTGTTCCACACTGAAAGAGCAAACCCAACTCTCCTTGGATCATTGCCAGGTCTTGGTTCACAAAGTGCAGGCTACTGAAGTCCAACCAAAGAGTGGTGTTGGACAACGTTCCAAGCGGTGAGGCCGGGCGGGAAGTCCAAAAGAACATGAGAAGCACGCGATCTCAAACAACAAAGCAATGGGTCAATACATGAACATGGAGTCACGTAGCATGGACCCCTACAGTCAAGTGATGAAGTTGCCTCGAAGTCCATGGGACCAAGCCCTAAGTCGTGCTCGAAGCTCATTATGTTCGTGATTTGATGCAACCCAATCAGAGTCTTCAAAGTGATTTGTAGAGGATGGTACGTCAATCTCTTGTCCGCAAGACGCGTGAGGCTAGACCAATTGAGGCAATCTTGGCCAGGGGTGCTCTTGTACAGCCACCCTTGGGCAGAGCTCACTGAGCTGTGCCAGGCACGACTTGCTCAATTATCATGTCTCACACCACTCCACACGAGCAGGAAAAACAAGAAGGATGGCCAGCTTTTCTTGTTTTGCCGTTTCTTCACCCCTTCAATTTCAATGTCAAACTCTCAACCTTGCTGAATGAAGCAACGAGAGCTTGCAAGTGCTTGGGGCTGTTTCGGTGCCTTGCATCTGGTTCATGGTTCACGGTGCGCGCGAGCTGCATTTTAGCTGCTCTTGAAGGAAACGTGTGATATCAGTATTGGCCGCACGTGAACATTCGCGGTATTGCATTTTGAAAGGCCCAAACATTCAGGAATTAAACAATCAAAATATACAACTTGTTATTTAGACGTTTCACTTAATACTTAAAACTTACATACTCTACAAATTTAACAAAGGTGTTCCTACAAATCAAGCTCTTGGAATCCTTGCTTGTGATATTGAGCTGAATCGCTTGAAGCAACCTCATTCAATATGGGAGAAGGCTGGGCCGGACGCCAAACCTAATCACCGATAAGCGCTGGTTTGAGCTTTGCTGCTTTTCGAAGGCCAAGGTGGAAGTAGTGATGCAACCGTGAAGGCTATCGTCGAGCAGATAGGCTTGATGCTATGTTGCAATGCCTCTATCGATCGATAGACATTGCTAGCTTTGAGACCAGTGCAGAGTGGTGAGATCAGTTTCTGGCTTTTCTCGGCAACCTTTCTGCATTTAATTTCACTTGGTTACCTTGCTGCAACTTCCGAAGGCTCAATCCCAGTCCGAGAGAACTTCAGATAGTGCCCGGCACTTGCGGACCAATGGAGGCGCAGCAGATGCGCCCAACATGCATTCGGCGCAGAGGCAGATTGAGGACAGAGCGCTTGGCGGCCTTGGCCCTTTTGGCTCCTTCGGTGGCACCAAGCCTTGGCAAACTTGGCTCGGCGCTTTGCAAGTCCTTAGCCTTGCCACTGAAAGAGGCCTTCGTAAGACCTATTACTATAATTTGGCAATCACTGGGTGTGGGAAGGACGGCCGTTGGCAGCTTGCTTTGGGATTAGTCTTCAGCCTTCGTGCAACCGGTCTTGCAAGTGACACTGTGACCATTGGAGCCGTGACAAATGCAGCTCAAGGGGCAGGACGGTGGATTGTATGCCTGCAGCTGCTGTCGACCATGGTGCGTGCAAACTACCAGAGTGACGCATTCACCATGAATACAATGATTGGGGGATTGGGGCGAGGTGGCAGATGGCAAATGTCTCTTCAGACGCTGCAAGAGTCAGAATTGCTGGGCATGCCATTAGAAGACATGACATACAATGCTGGCATGAATGCCTGTGAAAAATCAGCGAGGTGGGCCCACAGTCTCGACCTCTTCGAGGGAATGCATGCCAAAAGACTGCGTGCTGATGTCATCTCTTTGAGTACTTGCATCAGTGCATGCAGCAAGACCATCAGATGGAGTGAGGCAAAGCACCTTCTTGCTACTACAGCTGCATTGCAGATCCCGCTAAACTTGATTACATACAATGCAGTTATGGCCGCACTGTCTTGGGAAGCTGCTGTGAACCTTCTGGTGCTCATGAAAGGAGAGAGAATGGTACCCAACGTTATCACATATGGTGGTGCGCTTAGCTCTCAAGGAAGGCAGTGGCATCAAGCCTTAGTTCTCCTCAAAACGGTCCAGATTTGCCGACTAAAGGCAAAGGGGGTTGGGCTTCCAAGGTGGATCCAAATTTGTCCGAATGCCGAATGCACGTAACCAAAAGGAAGTTTTGCCGGGTGATTGTCAGCAAAAGGTAGCCATGGCAGCCATGAATCGGGCAAACCCTCCAGAAGCCCCAGCAAAAAAACATCATTCGATGCCCAAAGACTCAAGGCTAAATGAGTCGTTCTGTTCATTTTAGGATCCCCACTTCCGGGGATTCTAGTCCTTTGCGGTCGGAGTCGTTCGTCACGATCACCGGCCGAGCATCCACAAAGCAAACAATAGGATACGGTTGCTATGTATATATACTGTTAATTATATATGTATATTTATGTATATTTATAATAATTGATGTTGCTTGCTGGATCCGTTGTTCTTTGCAGTTCGATCATGTTAGATCAAGAGAAATGATTCACAAGCTCGTTGCAGTGGCTTCGTGCAAAAACAATTACTTTATTGCCTTCTTCTGGAGATGCACACGGCGGCACAGGCCATCAGAGCATCCTTTGGCAGAAGATTAACTTAAGACCAAGACACTGGCACCAATCAGAAACGCTTCGTGCCTCTGAAGAAAAGACACGGCTTTCAGAGTGCACGAGGAAAAGGGCACGTTAGATTTGTTGGCCTTGGTCTCCGGCCTTTAGGAAGTTGCAGTTGGGTGTCTTTGTGAGACAACTCCAGGACGAGTCATGCCCGCCAGAGAGAGAAAGAGAGAGAGAGAGAGAGTGTGTGTGTGTGAGAGAAAGTGTGCTGGGAGAGAGTGGTTAGTGTATGTTTGTAGAAAGCGGTCCAGAATTCTGCGCACGCGAATGTACGCGCACCCATGCAGTGCTTGGACAGTTCAGTATACAGTAGAGTAGCTTCGAGCGCTGTGCTTCCACCATCAGAGGTGGTTTCGTTCAGAGCCAGAGGTGTTGCAGCAATGCTTGTCAGATACACGCGTGTAACATATTGTTACTAGAAAAGGCTACATAATGTATGAGATCCCCAGCAGTGGCTTGTCCGTGTGCGCCAACGCCACGTATCTCGTCCTCGGATAAAGGTGACATACCTGAAGGAAGCAAGGGCTGGGACTGTGACTGGGGAGGAGAGAGTGGGGATCTGTTCAGTTGGGGAATAACCATCATACACCTGCACCCAGCCACTTTGTGTTGCAACTTAAAAAACTACTTAAAACAGTTGCAGATATTTGAAGAAGGTTCTTTGTGTGAAAGTTGAAGAGCATGTGCACTAGCATCCATTGACCCTCATTCCCGTTGGTCGTAGGGCCCGAGCCAATCCTTTCAGCTTTTGCGGTAAAAGGGTGCGCCATGACCGCGTTTGGTTGCACTGTTCCCCTTTAGTGCCCTTCATCCCATTGCACGAGGGGCCACTAGTTGGCACCGGAGCCTGATGTTCGACTTCTCGGCTTTGTCCGAGCTTGGTGACGCTGGTGAGTATCCCCAGGACCACGATGACCCTTCGCCCGCTTCCGTGACATCGGAACCTTCGTGGCGTTGTTCGAGTTGTGGGAACGACACCTTTGCTTGGACCGTTGAGGGATGGAAATGCGCTAGTTGCCACAGTGGAGACTACTACAATGCTGCTGTATCCCAGCGAAGAGAGACAGACAATGGCGTTTGGATGTATGTCCCCCGGTAATCCCAATCCCATGGTTCAGGTTCAGATCCGCCTCCGTTGGACCCTCTGCCGGACACGACATCGAAGGCGTTCGATCATAACCGGACACGTGTTGGCCATGCTTCACCTCATGAGGGACCATACCATGAGAGCAGAGAGCAGGCTGAATCGGAGGCTCCGACAGATGACCCTGTTGTTGATCCTGAGCATGCAGGTAGCACCACGTCGAGGAGCAGCCGCAGATCCAGGAAAAGAGCCCAAAATCGAGCTATGAACATTGCAGCACGACAAGATGTTGGAGTTGGCAATGTTGATACATTGAGCAATGCAGTGCATGGTACATTGTTTGATGAACAACAGCAACAACAAAGCAATGCAGATTTGACAAGGCAGTTGGCACAGCTGGTACGCACATTGCAGCGTGCCGTTGACCAAGGTGGCAGTGGCAAAGCGTCCAAGAGCTCTGAAGGTTCGTCTTCTTGGAACTCCCAAAAGGGACCAGAAAGAGGAGTTCGATATCGTTCAGGAGCTCCACCACCTCCACCTGCCTGGAAGTATGCCAAAGATGATCTTCGCAGTTTTCCCAAGTGGCAGAGAAAGCTGGAAATCTGGAAACGTCAAATCACCAGTTTCATGAGTCGCAAGGACGCTGCACTTTTGCTTTAATTTACCACAGCTTGACTGGAGAGGCTGAAGAAGAGTTGGAACATTGTGATTTGGACAAGTTGGCATCGTCGGAAGGCATTGAGTACATTGAGCAGACATTGAAATCAGGGCTGGCAACTCGTCTCGTTTATCAGAAGCGGAAGCTGATGAGCGACTACGAAAGCATTGTTCGACAACCGTCGGAGTCGGTCAGGGCTTTTGCAAATCGGTACCGACGAGCTGAACAAGCACTGCAGAGTGTCTCTGTCGACATCCGTGGGATGTACGACGACGAATCTCGAGGCAACAGATTGCTCGAGAGAAGCAGGTTGAGCCCAGAAAACCAAAGGTTGGTATTGATCGGTTCTGCCTACAACCTTGCCTATGAGGCCATCGTTGAGAGTTTGTGCATGAGTTTTCCGGAGCACAAGTCACCACCTCAGTTGTTTGGCAAGGACGGTCAACCGATCAAAGCATGACAGAGTTTCACATCCCCATCGACTTCATCCACGACAAGTACTTCATCGAGTTCCTCAAGCTTCAAAGGCAAAGGCGAGGGCAAAGGCTTTGGCAAAGCCAAACACGCCTTTGTCACTGAGGTCGAAGACGACCAGCTGGAAGCCATTGAAGAGGAAGACGGTCCTCATGAGTCCGAAGCTGAACATGAGGTCGAGCAAGAAGATGATCAATACGATCAGCAGGAACTGGCCGATGAAGAGGCCTTACGGTGACAGCAAAGAAGTTGCAGTCGCTTAGATCCAAGTCGATTGAAGAGCGAAAGAAGACAAGTACATGCGCTGCCTGTGGACAGGTAGGTCACTGGAGTGGAGACAGCCAATGCCCAAAGAGTTCCAAAGGAAAATCTGATGGCAAAGGCAAATCCAAAGATGGCAGCAAGAGTACGCCGAAAAAGGTGTACATGAGTCTCCACCATCCTGACGGGTCCACAACCAGCCACCACCAGGAGGATGCACCGGTTCACAACTTCTTCACCTTCGTTACATTGATGGTTCATGAGGTTTGTGTTGCAGGTACATCTTTGTATGGGAAGATGTTCATAGACACCGCTTGCCAGAGGACATGTGCGGGTTTGAACTGGTTGGACGGGTACAAAGCATTGCTACATCAGCATCAACTTCGTTGCAAGACGGTGCCGTCGGCTGAGGCTTTTCAGTTCGGCAGTGGAGCACCTATGCACCCAAAATGTTTTTGGCAGAAAGGCTGACAGCACCTCATCGGTTCCTGTTCCAGCCCCATTCACTCCAAGCAGACGTGTTCGAACAGCCAGGTCACGGACACCCACATCAGTACGAAGAACTGAAAGGACGGCCACGCTGACCGATCCTTACATGCCACCTGAGGCACTGGCAATCCAAGATCAGAGAGTCTTTTGACCCTTCTCAACCTTCAGCACCACATCCAGGTAATGGTGAGAGAGCGCCTAACAATGCGGCTGGGTGGCTCACACCGCATGGCCTTGATCCATCACCGCCTCAAGCGCTACCAGACCAGCCAGTTGACCTCACAGGTGATGATGATGATGGACAGCCAGACCTGTCCAGAATAGTCCCAACAACACCAGAGGGCATTGCAGACGAGCCCTTGCCTCAGCTTCCGGCCAAGCGGCCATTTGACACTTTGAAGGCAGACGTCTCTGCCCGGATGAACACTCCAGGTAGCTTCGAGCTCTATGGCTACCAGAGTGACTTTGCAAGACCTTTTCAGAATTTAGAATGCTGGGCACGGCTCGACCTTTTTGTTTCACAACCTCAACTCCCAATGTCATCAGGACCACCGATGAGCTATGTGAAATGGCGTCGCACCATTGATGCCAACGCCAATGAGCTGATCTTTGAAGGTGTCATCGACCCTGATGAGGAAGAAGAGAACAAGCTCCATTTTGGAGAACCAAGAAACATCATCACTGAGTTTTGGTTCACTCCACCATCTGAGGCAAACCACTACTACTACGGCTATGACGAGACCATTCGTGAAATTGAGCCAGGATGGGATGGTTCAGATGAAAATTACCTGCCTCCCACCAAGCGCTACTACCAGGTCTACGTCGAGCAACTAGCCTCCAGTGTTGATGACCTGCTGAGCCGCCTGTCAGATTCGGACACCGACGTTGATGACTACAAGACTGGCAAAAGGCTCACAAGGCAGGAGAAGAAGCAGATTGAAAAAGAGTTGAGTTTTCACGACATTTTGTCGCAATCAGACGAGTACATTCAGAAGTTCATTGAATCGGCACAGAAAGAGGAAACCAGCTTTCTGGAGTGGAAGTCATTGAAACCAGTTCCTCCAGAAGAGACGAAACGCATCCTCTCTGACCCCGAGCAGAAGAAGAGAGTCATTTCTTCAAGGGCTTGCTACAGGGACAAAAACAAAAATGTTCCCCCACTCAAAGCCAAAACCAGAATTGTAGCAAGGGGCAATCAAGATCCTGACTTGCAAAGCCTAACACGACAAGCACCAACGCCAACCCGTGTCAGCGAGATGATGACCTTCCTCATCTTCCTTTCAGGATTGCACTCCAAGGCCTTCCGGAGTGACAAGGTTTGGAAGTTGTGGGCTGGGGACGCATCCACGGCGTTCTTGCAAGGCCAGCAGGACTTGAGCGAGAGGGCAGGCAAGCTTTACCTCAAAGCACCACGAGATCCCTTGCTGATCAGAGCTGGTGTTTTCAAGAGCGAGCTGTATGAGATACTGGGAAATGTGTACGGCCTCAGCAACGCACCGTACACCTGGGCACAGGAAGTCACCAAGAGGTTGGTCAATCTGGGATTCATCGTTCACAGTTTTGATCGTATGATGTTTTGGTATCCTGACCCAGACAATGCACCATGCCCAGCTGCAGTTCTCATTTGCTACGTTGATGATTTCCTCATCACCTTCAACACCTCCTTCCCATTCCAACAGTTTGTTGACTCCTTCAAGTGGGGCTCGCAACAGTTTTTGGAACAAGGTCCACCGTTGGTTTTCAAGGGCAAAGAAATCCACCTGGAACAGACTGGCGACGTCCAGACCCTCAGGATTGTCCAAGAGACCTTCATCACCAACCTTGAGATGGGACAGGTTGGAAAGAAGCAGAACAAGGCCGAAGTTCTTGCCAGCCATGTTTGGCCGGAATTCAGGTCCATCAGCGGTTGCCTACAGTGGCTGTCAGGCCAGACACGTTTGGATATTTCATCAGCAGTTTCATTGTCCAATCGAGGACAGGAGACGACCTATGCTGACCTTGACTGTTTGTACAAGACGCTGCAACATGTTAAGGATACATCCAAGCTTGGCATCCGGCTGTATCCAGTACCGATCGATGAGAGCACGGTCGTGATGGCGTACTCCGACGCCAGTTGGGCGAACGCTCAGGGGAGCGCAAGTCAGCATGGACAGATCATCTTGCTGGCGCCAGCGACTGTGACAGAGAAGCCATGCTATGGTGGGCTCATTGACTGGAAAAGCTCTCGCAGCAAGCGAGTATGTCGTTCGACGTTAGCTGCAGAGGCCGTATCGGCCGACAGTGCTGCCGATCGCTTGGCATACGTGCAGTATGCGCTGGGAGAGTTGGTCTTTGGAGTTGCTGCCCACCGAGTGGGCCCTCGCCTTCGAGCTTTGTTGGCAACTGACTGCAAGTCGCTGTATGACAGCGTATCCAGCCCGAACCCGACAGTTGAAGACAAACGCAGTCTGGTCAACATTCGCTCCATCCAGGAAGTGGTAAGTCGCAATACCATTCACTGGATCCCGACGGCCTTGCAGATGGCCGATTCCTTGACGAAAGTGTCCTCAGACCTCAGGGACACTTTGTTGAGCTGGCTTCAAAAGCCGATCATCCACCTCCGAGAATGCGGGTCAAAAGAAAATACCCCCAGTGTGAAAGTTGAAGAGCATGTGCACTAGCATCCATTGACCCTCATTCCCGTTGGTCGTAGGGCCCGAGCCAATCCTTTCAGCTTTTGCGGTAAAAGGGTGCGCCATGACCGCGTTTGGTTGCACTGTTCCCCTTTAGTGCCCTTCATCCCATTGCACGAGGGGCCACTAGACTTTGATCATCGCTGAGCCACTTGCTTTGATAGACATGAGCACTACAAAGCAGTCGCACATTGCTCAAACTATGCTATTGCTGGGGAAAACTTGTTTCTTTGTAAAGATAACTTTGATTGTTTATGCCATGCGAACCATTTTTTCATGGGACTGCACTAGACCTGATGTGAGACGTCGTCCCTTCAATGCAGCATGCCATGCAGTTTCGCAAGCTGATGTGACTTAAATACCTGGCGCTTGTAGACGCCACTTCAAGACCCTGTACAGCTGGATGTTTCACATTGACTGTGAAGGGATCCTAGCTACTTTTGTCGTAAAACAGCTTGGCTGGGACCGGGATAGATCGAACATCCAAGTGTTTTTTTTGCCTTGTAGGTTTGGCCTTTCCGTGGGAAGCTTGTGCAACAACAAAACACATTCAACCTGATGTAGACAGAGCAGCTGGGCCTGGAACTTGTGCGCTATGGATGGCAGCAAGTACCCGTTTGGGAGACTCCTCGTCCCATAAGTATAGCGAGTACTGGAGTTCGTCAGGGGCAGGCAGTTGTCCTCGCTACCCTTGAACTGTCTTAAGCTCTTCAGGAGGACTCTGCGGAGATCTACAGCGCAGTGGCGAAGTCTCTTTCTTTATATCGCCCGGTTCTACATCACCTTCCCTAGGATAAGCGGCTGGTGAATTTTAGAGCGCACGTGCACGCAGCAAGCTGAGTGTTGAGCTGGCGATTGAGAGGTGTTGTGAATTTAGCATATTTAGCCGGGTTTGGGGGGATCTAAGAGTGGAGCCAGCTCACTGCTAAGGTAGCTGAGGCTTGACCTAGCAAAGTCTCGAGCCCTATATACAGTCATTTTCCTATTGAATCTAGGCTAATGCAAGGCAGGGGAGGTCATTGTCAAGTAACGGACAAAGTGGGATATGATGGAATATGTTGCAGTGGGCTAAAAAGGCCCGTGAATGTTTGCAAAGATGTTGTTCGGCAGGCCAATTGCATCGCATACAATGCGGCCATGAGCGCTTGTGAGAAGGCAGGCCAGTGGCCATTCGCCCTGGAGTTGTTCGGGGAAGTCTCCAGCCTTCGGGTTCAGCTGGACATTTGCACATGTGGGGCTGCAATCAGTGCCTGTGAGAAGGGGGAGAGGTGGGAAAAGGCAATTTTTATCCTTCAGCGCGAATCCTTAATGAAGAGCAGCCTTATTGGATACAATGCGGCCATTAGTGCTTGCGGGAACAAGCGGCAGTGGGCGCAATCCTTCCACCTGTTTCTGGAAGTGCAAGATATTGTCCCACGTTTGAGCGAGGTCACTTTCAGCGCAATGATTTCTGCACTGGATGTGGGACACCCGTCAAACCTGTGGGAGTTGTGCCTTTGGATCCTTCACATGTCCGGGCAAAGTATGTCGATCAATCTCATTACGTACAATACGGCTCTCACTGCTTGCGCAAATGCTGGCAAGTGGAGGGAGGCCTTGCAACTGCTCTCTGACATGGCTAAGGTTCGAGTGCACTTTGACGAGGCCAATGGTTTTCAACATGGATGTGGTGAGGAGTGTTCAATGCTTAAGACTTCTCCTGCCGTTGGTTCAAGAGTGCTTAACTCCAACTTACATAACAAACTGAGTCACAGATATCCATTGACTCATTGCTTTCACAATCCTTGCGCATTCGAAACCTGAGGTGACCTTCGATTCCACACTTCGAAGCTGCATCACGGGCAATCGTGCAGCAGAAGCAAGAGAGTTCATCAACCTGTTGAGGACATTTGCCCTGGCTACATTTGAGCCAAGGGATCGGAGATTATAGCAGAAATGTGCAGAAATAGACTTGCTTCACCAGTGACCTCAGAATTCCAAGCTGAGGGCCGGGGCATGCCAGAGCTCTGCGAAGCTCCTTAAGTTAAGTGAACCTTGTTGAACCCTTCAGCGCCAATACTGTCGCAATTTGAAGGTATGCACAAAAGGAGGAAGCCGAGGAAGCTGTAGAACAAACATGTCGCGAGGGTAGTGAAGCAGCGAACAGCAGCGAATATAGATGAGGGGAGTCAAAGGACTCCAACAGTTTCTACCCTCCCTCCAGGCCGCCTTGCACCTGATCAACTGGACCAAGTGAGGAAAGCTGTGCTCTTCGGGAGCAGTGCCAATCTGAAGGCGTGGTCCTTTGATTTTTGGTTGAGCCACCGTGGTGAACATGCGTCCCCAAACCACCGCCGATCTTTAAAGGACTTGGATCGATCTGCTTTCATCATGCCTGGATCTTGGGATCGAAACGCCAAACCCGCTGCCACTTGCCCTGTGCAATGGAGACATTTGTGAGTGTCGCCCGTAGCTCCAAGGAATCGGCCCAGCTCGCCGAGGGGACGGCGAGAGGGCTCTCCGAAGGACTCAAACATGAGAGAAGCTCGTCATGGCAGGTTCTATATAATAAGTTGTTTATAGCTTCTGATGCACTGGAGCATGTTTAAATCAAGAACCTTCCGGCGACATCAAGTCACGGTCAAAATAAAGGGTGGATCACTTTAATTTATAACTGAGATGGTGCACCAAAGCCATGTAAATTGACCGGGCCCCCCCACTTGCGACAGTCCATTTATCTTGGCGTGTGCGCAAACCAACCAAATATTGTGTGCATTTGTGTGCACACTCACGCAAGGGCTACCAGTGTTTCCTGCAGTTGTCATATCAATTGTATTCAATTGTCGTCCAAGGTGATTAGACCGTTCTACAGCGATAACCTTAATTAGGATAAACATTTGTTGCACGACCCTGGCCAAGGGATAGTATAATGAAAATGTATACTGTATAATTGATTAGACACCCACAAACCTAGATATAGAATGACATAGACAGCACCTGAAGAGAGACGTCCTCCATCCTTGTTCCAGCCTGTTCGAAATGGATTTCAGTCATGTTCAATCTAAAGCAGGTTGACCTCGACAAATCCATGTAAAGCGATAGGGCTCCCCGGGCTCCCCCAAACAACCATTAACATTGACATTTGCATGAGTCCGACACATGGCCTTGGCCGCAACTGGGGGGCAAGCGCCCAAAACAGGAGAGATCTCCATGTAATCGGCATCGCGCACCATCACCATCAGATGGGTACCCGCAACTTGCCAGTTGGCCATTGTGTACTTCAACGTCCCGTTTACACATGTTTATAATTACAAGATGTTACAAGGGATTGAGGCTTTGATTAATGGGAATTCTAAGGATGGATGATGCAGGCCTTGCTGCTTGTTTTGGCACAATTGGACACTTGATGTGCACAAAGTGAATCAAGACCGCTTTCATTTTTCTACGTTGCCGTGACATGCTACGACAGGGCATGGTGATGCTCCAAGCCGTCAATCGAGTCGGAGGCTGAAGTATCTCGACTTGATATAATTGGATTATGACTTGATAAGGCGGGAGACTCGGGGGACCACTAAGAATCAGAAGCACCACCTAAGGCGAACCTCAAGCGACACAAATCATCCCATCGATGCTCTACTCCGCGAGAAGGGAAACAATTCTGAGCGCTATTTGGTGGTTGTGTCTTCCCTTTCCTTGGATTGGAAGGACCCAACCTAAACGGATTTAAATATCATGCGTCAATGACAAGCCTAATCATAAAGAGCGTTGGGCCAATGACTTAGACTAGGGATGTCATGGGTTAAGGGAGACTGTTCCAAAAGTTTGATGACTATAGTCCTGAAATTGTTTGAATTTAGCAGGCGGTTGGAGGCCATCGCTTGTAGATTGGAGGCCATCGCTTCTAGATTGGATTAGGTTCAGTTTGCGATTTGGGCTGATAGACCCGACAGGAGTTGATCAAGATTCCGGGCGTGAGCAACTACGAGCTCCGACTCCTTTGGCATTTATTCTTCTTGAGATCTCGCAAGATGCGTGTTGTGGCTCGGATCCATGCATTGCATGCCAAGCGATGCGGAATCGTGTAAAAGGACCATCCTGAAAGGGAGTAACAATATTGCCTTCACATATGTACATATACTTTGGCTAACAAATTGTAACAAAAAGCTGATGCTAAGGTTATGTGCACATCACAGTACATTCCTGATTCTTGGCAGACCCAGACCCACCGCGGAAGCAACAAACGGACACGAAGCATGAAGAACATGTTGGTTGATTCAGGAAACCCTGATCAGATACTATTTGAGCTACTTGCCTGGTGACGTGTCAGTGGATGATGCAAGAAGCAGATTGACCACCATTTGCTGCAACGAATCCTTGGCTGCAGTCTTCTTCGCGATGCGATCCAGCACATGACCCAATCCTAACATGATGATGTTAGGATGCGCACTTTGGTTCTAAGGACATGACAGCAGGGAGTGTCACCAAGAAATTGCTTGAACGACCTCGTGCACTGGAGCGCATAAAAAGCTGTATCGATCAGGAGAAGGCTGCGATGACATGCTTCAATTCCACTGCAGCCTGTCAAAAGGAACAACTGTTTTGTGTCCGCTCTTACTTAATTAAGTAAGGGCTAGGTAACTAAGTAGATATGCTACTAGCAAGCTTACTAGTAACTGGACACAGGATAGCTCACACTTCTTCAAAGAAGCTTTCTTAGTCTGAGAGGGGGCGGGGAGCTTCCTTGAAGAAGCTCTCGCACTATTCATGTGGTTCCTAGATTGTTCGGGGAACTTATATACTTTGATGCCAACTCTCACTGCTTCACTTGTGGCGATCAGAGTTGTAAGCTTTGTAGAGTGATTGGTTCATGTCTCGATGCCTTGCATCACAGCCTGGATAAGGATGCGGAGGTTGAACTGGCAGCTTGGAGGCAGCAAAGGAGCTAGTTAGTTCATAGAATTCATTGCAAATGAATGAATGAAGGAATGAATTATTGTGATGGTGTATATGATTGCATATAGTAATACAGAGTTGAATTAAAGGAGGCAACTCAGGTCGGAGTCACTTTTGAAGTGTGTTTGAAGTGTGTTCACGGGAATTGAACATGTCAATTCAATTATATAATCAGACATGCATAATTGCAAAGAGGACTCCTGCTCCTTGTTGCAAGAACTCTCTACGTGCTGCTTTTAGTTATGGGGTTTTGGCCCTCGGGTATTTGTAAGAAGCCCCGACGCAGAGGGCGGCTTGGGGGACAGCCATTCCCTTTTAAAATCATTATAAACTAATATAGCGTGTATATATATATATATATTCCGGAAATGGCGATGGATATATATAATATATATATTCTATGTCGCAAGTCGCACATTAACATATGATTTGGGGCAGTTTAGGGTTGGGGAACAGCTCCACAAGACCTGAGAAAGAACTTGTTGTCTCAAAAGCTTTCAGACTCTCAGGCGAATCAGCTTGGCATCCCTCTTTTTGGTACAGACACACAGGGAGCCTTCTGGGGAACCAAGACGGGCAACCGCCAGGTTTTCCGCGTTCCTCGGCATGACTTTGGTTGTCCAGAATGCATCACCAGCAGCACTTTTCATCGTTTTGCGGTTCTTGTGGTGCGTTGAACCTTTTGAAATGCTTAGTTATGCCTATGCGTGCGTAGTTGTTTTAGGAGATTGTTTGGATCGCAGGATGCAGGCGTTTCGCACCCAGATGGCAGCTACAAAGAAATCTTTACTGAAGACGAACTAGCAGAGGAGTCTCTCAGAGGTCCTATGTATATCGGCTGTGCAGAGGAACCAAAGGTTAGTTGATTAGATGCGCAGGAGATCCTGGCCCTGCTGAAGCGATGTCCTTGGGCTCGAAAGGCCTGGAAGGACCCGGAGGACTGAAAAAATAGAAACATAATTTTGCCCGTGGCCCTACCTCCATACTTAATTAACTAGGCGCTTACTTAATCAAGTAAGGGAGTAGTTCACTACTAGCTACTGGAGCTTACTACATACTGTATGGACGCAGGATAGCTCATGCTTTTTCAAGGAAGTTCCCCCCCCGCCGCCCAACCTTGAAAATTGAAGAAGCACTCGCACTAATGATTTGGTTCCTAGATGTGTTGCGCCACTCGGAAAGATTGTCAATCTATATAGGGCTTCCCAACATGAGACAATCATGGTCCTGCGAAAAGAGCATTGACTATGTCCACCCAAAAGCACGTGATTTGCTATGGCAGAGGTAATGGTGAAGCTCAATGACTCATTCAGCGGGGAGGGCAACTCTGTCCTTCGGATAGACGACCAGTTAGCAGATGCCATCAAGGACGACCGTTGTGCAGGGCATGAAGTGAAGCCACCTAAAGTTTGAAGTTTGTTCATTCAAGACCTCTTGCATTTCGCCAGCTGGATGAGACTTTGCTGGCAGGAGAGCGATGAGAAGGCCTTGCAGGTGATTTTGGAGAAGCTGCACAACTCCCTCGAGTACGTTGCACCAGGTTTCTATTAGAATGACTGCGGGCCTGAAATGTTGGATAAATTCGGTAGACTTCCCCCTCGTCCGATGAGAGCACAGGATAAATGAGGCAACTGATGCCAACTGATACTTCACCGTCCTGCGATTCTTGAGAACTGCGGCACAGAATAGATTGAAACGCTAATATGGCTCCCTGGGGCCTGGCCAGGTTTCAACTGGGCCAGATATTATCCTCAATTTCAAAACCTTGGCGGAGTTTGCGAAGTCTTCATTGAAGGATGCTGATGCCTTGTCTAGCTATGTATCACCGCAGCACCACCTTGGATTTGCCAATTTGCGTGCATTTGTCACACCATAGTTGCACAAAAAAGTCAAACATGCTATTAGAAAATGTAAACTCCAGGAAGGCTGCCTCAAAAAGGCATAAAAGCTATTTTTGCCATATCTCAGAAAATGGCTGCCTTGATATGAGCAAGAACTTTGTCGCTAGAGGATCCGCTGAAGCAAAGACTTCACCGTCGTGCCAAGCCTTTATCAGCTCCAATGGAGATGTCAGGAGCGAGTTCACCCAAGGTTTAGTGAAGCTACTAGTAGCAAAGGGCATCGCTACTAGGAGCAAGGACGCTACTATATGGGGCTCCTGGCCGTACTACTAGGAGCAAGAAGCTACTAGGAGCAAGGGCATCGCCAGTAGTAGGTTATGTTGGACTTTGTCGGCGCAGGATACTGGCAACGCACGAGCAGATGCTCAATGGACAAATCTACACTGGCTGCAAATTTCCAGCCAATGAAGCCTACGCTAAAGATTTGACGGCTCTATCCCAGAAGATTGCTGAGGCCTGGCAAGCTAGATTATGGTGTGGGTGAGTTTGAGCTTCTATTAACACAGTTCGCCACTGCCCAGGAGTTGAGCAAACGCCAAGTCGTTGGCTACATAGCTGTTGACTTTGTGTCGGTTCGACAAGAAGATGGGAGCTATCAGCAGCCCTGAGCTGCACAATGATCAAACAAAATTATTATTCTATCTATATATACACATTCAATAGCTCACCACCTCGTGAGATGTTCACTCACTCATCTGGACTACGCCAAGGCATTGGGCAATTGAAGTCAATGTGCGGATGGGTGGCACCACCTTGCCAATCATGACACTGACTCCTGGCACCATGTGAAGCATCGGAAAGAACAACCACGTACTGAAGAGAAGAGCTTCCTAAGAGCTTCGCGAATGTGGAACTTGCTTCTCAAAACATCTCAAAAGGAACAAGAAGCTACTAGCCGCTCCTGGCCGTACTACTAGGAGCAAGGACGCTACTAGGAACCCCAAAACTGCGCATCAAGGAACTTGCTTTGTGGACACGGTGCCTTCGATCCCAGCACGTCTCAATTCATCGGTACTGATGGCGAGCCCAGGCTTGGCGTGGACTACTTGTGAACTTGTGAATGAGAATGTGTAATTTGTTCTATGTCTATGCCAGTCTATGCATTATGATACAATTTTATTTGACTCTTGAACAGCCCGAAGTCTGAATGATTCAAGGTATTACATCGCCTCTGACACCTTGAGATGCTTGCATTAAAGAATCATACAGTATCGTATCACCAGATCTTCCTGAATTAGATTTCTGGCAGCTATTGAACATTTGCACTCGAACCCGTTGAAGCCAAGGAAAACCCAGCTACAAAGGCTTGGTGATAGAGGATTTGCTGGACATCATCAAGCGACCCTGGCTCAGCACATTGGTGTCACTCCAAGCCATTCACCCGGAAGACTTGGGTGTGCAATTGCCAATTATTTATTCCTGAGGATACTCGAAGGAGATTGAGTGGAACAAGAGACCAGATGCACCTGAAACAGGTGCAACAAGAAGTCACCATTGCACAAGGATTTCTCTAATTAGGTGCTGCAGTGCTAGCAACACGTTGCTGACCGATGATACTAGTAGCTGCTTCTGTTTGTCAGGTGCCATTTTTCACCTGGTTACACTGCTCTCAGAGCTGGGCAAGTGTGGCCTCATGTGTGTGGGCCGCTCGAGGGAGGAAGCTGAGCAATTGTTCCACCGGGTTCAGGAGCAGAGTTGTCAGCGCTAGTAGACTCAAGTCAGGAAGAGAAAAGAAAGGCTGTTTGAGCTCCTCAAATAAAGGCCCTTTAAAGTTGAATTTCCCGTAATGAAATTATGTATTAGTGATGCTTTATTTAAAATTTGTTGATTATGTAATTATTTGCTGCAACTAACTACCTCTTCGGAAAAGAAACTTTTGAAAAAGGATTCAACAATTGGGAGGTTTTCCAGTTCGAAGTCATTGGCAAACAATTGTAGCACGACAGGCAGTTTTGCGTCGCGCAATTTGCAGGAAATCCTGGACCAAGAATGTGAGGCCTGGAATCTTGGGCAATTCAGCGTTTGATTCCTGTTTTGATCATTGAGCTTTACACCAGATGAGAATTTACAGGCTCCCCCCTTGCCAGCAGACAGCAGGTTAGGATGCTGCATGTGTCCAAGGCCAGCCACAGGAAAGGAATATTTGCTGAGGTGACTGAAGCTGAACTCAGTTTGGTCATCGAGGGGGACAGCTCGGATATGCTCAGCTGACCCGCAACCATACGAGTGACGTGTAGATAGCAGCGGTGGCGCTGAAAGCGGGCCGTACCCAAGCAATGCGCGGTTTAGTTATGGTTTTCCTCAGTACTGTCGCAGAAGAATCTTGACCAAGTTGGAGTTTGGTGCATGAACATTTTGAGAGAGCGCTTTGCATTGGCCAGTCAATTTTGAAGGAGTCGTTGCCTGAAACTAGTTGTGTCCGTGACACACAGACACATGGAACTGGCCTTTCCACGACTGTTTGACTCGCTTAGCAGAGTGCTTTCAGAAGCAGAAAGGTGGAACATGGTGGGAATCAGATGGATGTGAATCCAAAGTCCAAAGTAGCTTTTAGCTTCAACATGGCCCCTGAGAACCTGCTGCACACACAGACCCAAGACTTATTGACCCACAACCAGAACCTAGTTTGGCAAAGCTATTGCTTAGGCTGTGCAGTATTGCAATACTGTGCCTCAGCAGAGTCATTTCTTGTGCTGCTGGCTGGTGACTACCAAGCTGCGAGACATCGTGATCAGTTTGTGATCACATGGTTTGAAGCTTCCAAGCTAGGCTGAAAGATCACAGGACCCGAGAGTCAGGACAAATATGCTTACTGTAAGCTATATTGTTCACAGTTTGTGTGGGCCTTGCCACTGCTTCAAACCACATTGTATTCTTTAGTGTCATCAGTGAGAGCGGAAGTGAGTGCAGTGTAACAACAGACAGTATTGAAATTCAAGGACGTTCTAGGCCAGCCACTCCGCCACGTGCTCAGCATAAATCAGCATAAAGAGATGTAAAGTGGGGCGAATGCCTGTCCTTTGTGGGCATCATGTGGACGGCAGAGGCTGCTTTACAAGCTTTGCGCAACATAGCTCGCAATAGAAGTCGATGAAGTTCAAGAGTTCAAAATTCAATATGTATCAAAATGTGAGCATGTTTATCATGTATTATGTATCATGTTTTGAAGGGTCGGTTAGAACAACTGGGGCCGGGGTTGTATGGACGTGTGACGTGTGATGACGTGTAAATGAAGCTTGCTGTGGAGCCGGCCTCGAAGGCACTGAATATCCATCTCCCAGCTCACATCCAATGTCCAGGGCATCCGGGATCGCATAAAGTCTGCCGGAGAACATGAGATTAGCACGGGTGGTTGGCCCCATTTGGAAGCTTTTGACACTTTTGTTTCAGATCCTTTCGGTGTTGCTAGGACTCTAGGACATGCATCTAAGTCTAAGAGAGAGGTGAGGAAGTCCGAAGAAGCGGTTCATACAGGAACTACAGGTGGTTATATACATGATTTGACCATTGAGCTGTGAGCCCCTGAAGTTAGTTGCTTAAACGGCTGTTGTTTTGTTGGGGCTGATGTTGAAGTAAGACGATGAATCTCAAAGCTGCTGGTGTTGATCATTCTGACCAAGGATTCACAGATCCAAGGTTCGGCTCGAGATCGCTTTGACAGCAAGGCCGCGTCTCCGGCATCCCGCTCAATACTCCGCCAGGAGCCCCTAGTAGCGTCCTTGCTCCTACTAGCAATGGCCTAGCGTCCTTGCTCCTAGTAGCGGTGCCCTTTGTTCCTAGTAGCTTCTTGCTCCTAGCAGTAAGGCCAGGATATATAGGCAAATATAGTTCCTTTCATTCAATTGTTTCCTTTCTTACTTCTCTCAAGCCACTGTTCATCGCCTCAATCATGTTACCCGTCATCTCATCAATCAATATGTTGCATCATCAGCATTCCTGTTAATCCCTATTCTGGGCCTCACCTCAAGGCTCCTTTGCATCCTTTGTTGCCATGCTGTGCATGCTCTCTCGTAACCCTTCGTCCCATCACAGCACGCTGCACTTCTGATTTTGAGTCATGCATTTGCAAGCCAAGATCTGCAATGATCCGCAATCATTGCACTTTACGCCCTGCACGAGAACTACTTGGCTACTCTGTTTAAACCTTGCAACAAGGATGCGCGCCATGTCCCTAGTGGATGGAGCTTCCCGTGTGCTCGCACCACAGTACTTGGGAAAACAAGTTTTGGACTGTGAGATGATCTTGCACGTCACTCGCTTGCGTGTGGATATTTCCAGACGCTGGCTTTGTGTTTTTCTGTGGCCAGAAGTTCCGACCCAACGAGCGGCACAAATCAAGTTGTGTTGTTGCAGGTGTTGGATCTGGAAATGGATCAATGTACCCAACGGTTGAACACGATCCAGAGCACCACAGAAGTGGCCTCGGCAGTGGTAGCAGCTCTTGCAGACGCAGGAGCCTGGACATTCATTCCGAAGACAAAAAGTATCACCACCTTTTTTCAGTCGGCTTGTGCATTGGAAGGATCCAGACTGCAACACTGCGCGACTGCCTCCCGCAAGCTGAAACCTGACCCTTGGCACCGGGATAATTTGCGCTGCATTAGTTTAGATGTTGTATACATATATTAATATATGTGCATATATAGCAACATTGCTTTGTCCGGGGTGCTTCTGTATCGAGTGCCATGTCCATTATTAATCTGCAGTGAAGCTTTTGTAAACTTCAAAGGGCAATGATGTTCTTCATCATGGCATTTAGTTAGCATGCGCACCTTCTGAAGACAGACAGGAGGGTGCTTCGTTGGAAGAATGCCTAAAGCACGATGATGAGTCCATGGCCGCCGCTTCGCACTCCTTTCTGGACTGTTTGGGCAGTATTGCCACACTTTTCTGTGCAATGTGGCTGGAATATGCTGGAATTGGATCATGTTTGTATGCCTCATGCCTTTGCACGTTTCAATGTCACCCAATCCAACACTCTTGACTCGAGTGCACGCACTTTCCGCGGCCACTGCCATCAATCGAAGCCGCCTTTCCTTTTGCAAGAGGATGCTTGTGGCAGCTTGGGTGCTGTTCTCATTGGGATGGCCTCCGCCATCAGCCAGAATGTCATGCTTCCACTGGCAGCTGGGCCAGCAACACCTTTGGGCGGCATATTTGGATTGAAGACATGACAATATAATCGACATAAGTTGATCAAAGACGTGGCATGGCATGTGGACTAGAGCCAAGGAATCTTTTCATCGACATGCGTTTGCAGATCATACGAGGCACATCCATGCTGCGTTGTTCCATGTTCATTGTGTTTTGACCGATGTACACAATACACTGTACGCGCAGCTCTTGATGTTTAGGAAGTGTGGGAGGCCTTTGTGTGCCCAGCACTGTTGTACTGCATGTGCTTTGTTTTGTTTTGTGGGTAAGATTGTGGGCAGTGAACACGGATGACTGTTGTTTGGACACTGCGTGCGAAGTGAGAATGGAATTTTCAGTACTTTTAGCACCAATTGTATTATATACTGACTCAGTGGCTGTCAGTCAGCGCTTTATTGTATTTAACTATTAATTTAACTATATAAGTAGCAGCCGCAAAGGGGAAGCGTTGACAAGAGACAGGAAAGCTGCTTTGCTCGATGAGCTGCGCAGAAAAGAACTGGGCTGCTCCAATGCGGTCACAGAATCCTTGCAGAAGCGTGATCGTGCACGCCTAGGGCTTCAGAGTGCCATGAGGGACCAGGACTGTGATGGTGGAAACTGGACTGAACCACGAAAAATGACTGTCACACGCGTCAGTCCGAAAGTTCATTTGCGATTTCGATACAGCAAATGCATGGGCCCAATAATTTAAGCATAATATAATATGTATAAGAGTGCCCGACAAAATTACTAGAAGTAATTAAGCAGTAGTCTTCGGCTGGACATTGTTTTTCGAAAAAAGTGACCCATAGGGGCCCACCCAAAACTGATACCCTCTAACATGGGTGATACATACTAATTATGTATGTTTGAGAAGGTAGTGACTTTGCATGTCTTGGGGACTTGAGTGGGGCTTCACTGATCCCCCTTACCGATACCCGACCGATATCCTATTCTTCAGTTCTGGTGGCCCAGGTAGGCAACCCCCCACTTGAACGCCGGCCTTTTTGGCATCTATTTTTTGATAGTTTGTGGCAAACTGCGGCCGCGCAACATCCTCTTTCTCCTCTACCACTACTACTGCTCCTGCTCGGGCTACCACTTGTACTACCACTACTACTACCGTTACTACCACTACCCACCAGCACTACGACTACCATTGCTACCACTACTTATTCTACTACTACATTTTCTACTACACTCTACTACTACTACTACTACTACTACTACTACTGCTACTACGGCTTCTACTATCTACTACAACTACTACTACTACCACCACCACCACCACCACTACTACTACTACTACTACGACGGCTTAATATCTACTAGTACTACTGCTACTTGTTTTACTACTACTACTACTACAACGGCTTCTACTATCTACTACAAGTACTACTACTACGACGGCTTAATATCTACTAGTACTACTGCTACTTGTTTTATTACTACTACTACTACTACTACGACGGCTTAATCACGAAAGGTAGCCCTTTAGGGGATACCTTGAGTTTGTCTTGCGAAGCAAGTGTTGGGACGTCCGGGTCTAATAATTGATCGCTCAATTCAGACGCCCCCCCCCCCCCTCGAATTGATTTTTCAATCCAGACCCCCCCCTGTGTTTAGTAGTGTCCTAGGTCCCCCTGGGCGTGTCTACGCTATACGTGTGTAGCACCTGTTCTTGTACATACATCTATCTGTAGCTCTTCAGTCCGCTTTCGACATAGTTCATTTGGCTCAAGACTCAGCAGCCCAATACTGCATTCACTGCCATAGAAAAGGTGTGCTTCGCCGCAGCTCGCACACCGACCGCTTGTGTTTGACTGCTTGGTGTTTCGATCAGGTCCAGTTATTCCAACTGCCACTTCTGGGGGAACTTACCCCTCAAAGTGGTAGCGGAGCTTGTGTCTCCTGCTTCGCATTGGTCGATTTTGCCTTCGAGCCGAATCGTCCGATATTCCGGACAGGGGACAACCAAGTCAGTCACTTGTCAACCAAATAGACCATGGTCCAGATCTTTAACATAGATACGGACGAAGAGCATGACAGCGACCTATCTGACGTAACAGGATCCAGAAGAAGCTTTTGCAGCTCAAGGTTCGCGTCATCGCCAACAGCATGGAAGGTCCTCGAGTTCGACATACCGGACGTACGAGGCACAGCCATCGGCAGGTGTCAAGATGACGCCAAAGATTCCTCCGTCATTCGATGGACAGTCATCTTGGTTTGAGTTTGAAGATTTGATTGATGACTGGGTGAACATCACCACATTAAGCGCCGAAAAATTAGGCCCATCATTGAAGAACGCTCTAACCGGAAACGCCGAATACTACAAGAAAATGCTCGACAATGAACAGCTTCGTCATGAAAGAAACGGTATTACGTATTTCAAAGAGACGTTGCGACCATACTTTGTCAAGGGAGCAAATCATGTTTTTCTCTGGCGTTTCATGCAGCTCTTCAGGACCTGGCGCGGAAACGGGGAATTTGTAAGCTGGATCGCTCGTTTTGAAGTCGCTAGCAAGAAAGTCATGGAAGCCTTCATGGGCTTGTTAGATCTTTCGACTGTTCCACAGCCTGATGATTTCAACTTTACTGATATCCTCTCGCAACAGCAGTACTTGCTACTTCAAGGGCTTCAAGATCCCGCAGAAAGAAGAGAGAACGCAGAAAGAATCCGTTCTGAACACATTGATGCTTTGAAACAAGCACATCGTGACACCTTTCCATTGTCTGACAACCTGATGTCACTTATTTTCTTAGTTCAGTCGGATCTCAATGAACAGCAAAGAGAAAGGTTTGTAGCCAGCATGGCCTTGCGTCAGATCAACATGAACAACTACACATACTTAGGTGTCAAAGGCTTATTCCTTGATCTCTTTTGCGGAACCGCCACAGGAACTGCCGATCCTTCGATCCGCAGGCAAAGAAGATCCACTTTCCTTGTCCTCGATGAAGGAGACTTGGAAGAAGAATCCGGATACTGGGTGATGGATCAAGAAACAGGCGAAGAAGGATTTGTGAGTTTGTTCTCAGAGTCCGAATTTTGGGTGTTAGCAGCCAAAGGAGGATACACCCGTAGAAGAATCCATGGAAGAAGATTCAGAAAACCATCCAAAGGCGGCAAGGGAAAAGGCCGCGGAAAAGGCAGAAGACCCGGCTTTGTCAGCCGTAGAGGCAAAGGTGCAGGGGCACATTATGCAGAGTACCCTGACAACTCAGGTTTCTATGGAAAAGGCAAGAAAGGAAAGAAAGGTGGAAAGAAAGGATTCAAGGGAAAAGATGCATTCAAAGGCAAAGGAAAAAGCAAGCAACAGAATCCTTTTCAACAATCCAATGTTGCAACCACCGAAGAGCCTTCATCAGCTCAACCATCCACTAATGCCGAAGAAACCTGGAGTGCACATGAAGCAAATTGGTCATGGGACTCGTACGGATATCACACAGACCGGTACTATCCTGAAGATGTCTGGCAGGCAAATGAAGCCACTTGGCAACAATGGACATACTTTGCCGACGGACAGACGGACAGACCGCAAGATGAAGAGCACCATAGCTCAGAACCAAGGCCTGGCCAGATGAACCAGTCAGCAGATTTCCGGTATTACGGAACACATGCAGAAGAAACGACTGGTGCAGAACATGTTTCACAGCCGTATCACCTAAACCCTGCCGGTAGCAGTACAGACTACCGACATTCCGGTTGTTCTGAAGTGATTGATCCCCGCTTCTGTTCTTCATTTGTCAATTTTGACGATGGATTTCACCATGCTTTGCTTTCTGAATACATCGACTTGAGGTACAGTCCGACCTACGTGATCATTGACAGCGGCTGTACCAGAGCAATGGGTTCGCCATCATGCGTCTAGTGAAGGCATGTAAGAGACACTACAATGCATCTAAGATTGATTTCTCCTTTGAGCCTTCATCAAGTCGATTCTCATTTGCGAACGGGGAACAGTCCAATGTCCGAGAGAAGCTGGTAATCTACTTTCAGAACGACCAGTCACCCACAGGGTGGATCACAACAGCGATAGATATCTTAGACCAAGGCGACGTTCCAATCCTTTTCAGCGTTGAGCAGCTCAGGAACCTTCGCATGTCTATTGAGCATACTCCAGTCGGTGACTATCTGACTTGTCCTTTGTTCGGTCTGAAGCGATTTTCGCTGCCAGTGAGCACTTCGAATCATAATGTCCTAGAAATCATGATGTTTGCCAGCTCAGTTCGTAAGCCGAACCACAGTTTTACTGCAATCAATCCTTCGTATGGAGCCTGTCCTGCCTGCAATGGAAAGCATCGCAAGCACACATACAAGGATGGATGCAAAAAGGCAGAGACATCCGAAGTGAAGGAAGACAAGTCAGCAGCCGATATTCCGGCTAAGAAGCCAGATAAACACATTGCAAGTGGAGATGCCAAAGTCGATCCGCCATCGAAGCTCATTTCGATGCCTCCACCGGCTAAGAAGGTGACACCTCCGACATACCGGA